GGGGGGGGGGAGAGAAAAAACAGTGGAGCAAAACATTGACCTCTTCAGCCATTTTTCTATTCACAGAATCTCTGGATTGTTTCTATCTGGACTCTGCCTGATCCATAGCAATGTCATTCTCTTTAGGGTGATCAGTGATACCTGAACTCAAACCATGACTACTTCATTGCATTTATCCTCTGTCTTCATTGCAGTGTTTGATATGATGGATGGCCCTATTCTCATAGAATGCATCAAGCCCCATGCTGCACTGGTGCATTGAGTCACTGCCTGGCTATCACGGATGTCTAGTTTTCAGTACTATGACAGCAGTAACCAGTTTGAGATGCTGGAGGTAAATGGCAATAGGATAAAAATTGCTTGACTGCTTACCTCAGGTCTAAGGGAAGGAAGGATAACAATTTCTTGCAGTGCTTGTTTAGCCAGCTCTTGCCCAGCGATATCATCAAATTTGACAGCTGGCCCACTAACAAAGAAACAGAATATCAATTAGCCTAACAATAGCATACTTCTGTTGGATGGGAGATGACTGATTTCATGCATTTAACTGTTTAAGAACCAACTTGAAGCTAAGAATTCTTACTACTGCACATACTACTGTTATCTATAATCACTTGTTCATTCTTAAGGATAAACTTAAAGTGGTACCAGACTAACAAAACATGTAGACGGTATCATGAGCTTTTGTGGCACAGCCCACTTCTTCAGATGACCAGCATGTTAGATGTCCACAACTAAAATAAATAGCCGAGAAGGGAGAGAGGGGAAACAAGAAGTAGTGGATATAAAATTATCAAGGGGAAAGCAGAGCTGGAATATAACACAGGAAAAACAAGTAGTCTGTAAGCACCTAAAGACTGGGTAGTCAAAAGAGGCAGATAAGAACTATTAGAAGGCAATAGAGAAGAAGAGTACTAACAACAGATACTATATAGAAAAAGAATAATTGGCACCTTCACTGTTTGGTAGGTTGATAAGGTCCCAGCCATCCGGTATTAACAGATCTTAAACTGGCTGTTTTGTTACAGACCAATTCTACAAGCCAAATGTCCTTCCCTGTGTGTATTTTGGCTTGTGGAATTGGTCTGTAACAAAACAGCCAGTTTAAGATCTGTTAATACCGGATGGCTGGGACCTTATCAACTACCAACGAATGAAGGTGCCAATGATTTTTTTGTCTGTATAGTATCTGGTGTGAGTACTCTTCTTCTCTATTGCCTTCTAATAGTTCTTATCTGCCTCTTTTGACTACCCAGTCTTTAGGTGCTTACAGACTGTTTTTCCTGCTAAATTGCAGCTTCGCTTTCCCCTTGATATTTTTATACCCACTACCTCTTCTTGTCCCGTTCCCCCCCCCCCCCTTATTTATTTTAGTTCTGGACATCCAACACTCTGGTCATCTCAAGAAGTGGGCTGTGCCCACAAAAGCTCATAATATCATCTACATGTTTTGTTAGTCTTTAAAATGCTACCAGACTATTTGTCGTTTAAGTTTAGTCTGCACAGATTAACTTGGCTACCCCCTGATTCTTAAGGATAGTTCGCTCACTGTCAACATGCAAATATAATTCCAACAGATAGGAAAATTTCCCGAGTTAATTTTATCGAACTGATTTTCATTCCTTCCCCAAGAAAAAAAAATGACTTGTTTTTAATTTAAAATACAGCATCAGAAGTGACTTGACTTCTGAATACAAACAAATGTTATGTTTGACTTACTTGTCAACAATTTCATTTAGAATTAGATTGGCAAGATTACTATCAACATTTCTAAATATCTTCGAGTCTTTCTTTTTTCGAGCAGCAGTTGTAGGAGTAGAAGGCTTGTTAGTTCTGCTATTTTTTGACGGACCCTTAAGTCAAGACAAAAAATTAGTTTGCATTTCTCAAATATATACAAACCATTTTATTTTAAAACATACATCACACTTTCAGATGCAAAACTTAGGATGCTAAAAAGTGCAAAATATTTTGATACGTGTCATTTTTCTAAAATTAAAAGCTAATTTTTAGAAAATAAGGATTAGTAAATATTCTATATTGATTCACTTTCCATAAGAATTGTGACTCTCGGTATGTATTCAAAAAGACTATAAGCAATCAATAGTTCAGAGAATCCCAAACTTTTACTAATCAAGCTTCCCCCTCTCTTATAATGCTTTTGAAAGGTGATCCCCAAGCCACATCCCCTCACCATCCCAGTACCATCACCATCAAATTTCCAATCAGATTCTGTTTCATGTCTCTTCCCTGATCTTCCTTTTCCTTTCTAATTGTTTCATCTCACTTTACTGGCATAGATCTTTTACTGCTATACTTCAAATGCAGCCTCACAATGTAAATTATGTAGTAAGCCTTCTTTATAATGGCTAAGAGAAACAGCTATTTGTACATGAATGATTTACAGGGAACAGGAAAGAAAAAAGTCTAGGGCTACTGAGTAAAATGTATTTCCCGATATCTAGAAATAGTGGGTAATAAGTTTTAAAATATCATTTGAATACAAAGAAGCCCTTTTAATTCAATTAAAAATATTCTTAGATTTAAGGCAAAATGAATTGGGAGGGGGGGGGGGGGCGAGAGTGAAGAGAGATTCATTTTGGAATGGAGACCAAGCCCAAAAGTTTTCAGACAAAAACATTACTATTTAAAATATCATAGGCAACTGAACATATACATTTAGTATTCCCATCCAAAACAAATATTACTCTGAGGTTTTACTAAATGTAGTCTAAACTAGAGCTTGGTATGGGTTTTGCATTAACTCCAGCAGCTGATGGACACTTTTCATCTCTAGCATACCTTGTATGTCGAAGTTGCAGGATTTGCTCCCTGTCTAGTTACAGAGAAAGTTGATATCCCACTATAGCTAGGGGTTCTATGGTGACCAGAAAGGCCAGTGGATCCAGTTTTTGCAACAGTCTTTGAACGAGGAAGGGAGTTACTGGGGTGCGCTAATGGATCCTTCTTTTTTGGAACAGCTCCATATTCTACAAAGGAAAAAGGAAAGCTAATGTCATAAAAGCATATTAAACATGCACGGTGCTAATGAAATAGTGACATGTATAAACACACACCTCAGTTGTAAAACTAAGTTAAGAACCCGGACTTTAGATAAAATTTAATTTTCAACTTGCAGACAAAAAAGTGAAGTGGTAGTAGAAAAGACTAATCTTTTAGGATGCCATAAAACTTTGTTTAAAGTTAAATCCTTAACTTAAAAAAGATTCCTTTGAAATCTATGCTAGTTGGTGGTCCTTAAAAAGTATCCCTCTTCCCCTTTCAAGTATTACAGGAAGGATACGGATAAGGATACAAATATTTCAGAAAGAGTACACAACTGCTGTAATAATGAAAAGGTAGTCAAGTCTTAAAATGCCAGGTCCAAAGCAGCCTTCTCCTTCAGAAAAATAATGCTCACAGCATTGTTCTTCAGAAGTTAACAGTAATTTACTAAGCACATTCAACATATGAAGTTTTCTAATTCTATTATATAGTAGGTCATTTTCATTTTCTGCTAAACATTAAAGTAGTCAAAATTTGTAACAATTTCCAGTCATACACAAGCTGGAATTTAAAAATCTGAAGGGCCACAAGTGAAGAAATTGAGTTTTATTTTCTCATTAAATAAACGGCGTTAAGGCAGCCTGCCTGCCTACCATACCAGCTGATAGTGACACAGGTCCATCTTAAACTTCTGAGTAAAACTAATGCAATATAGCCATAACTTGCTTGGTCTGGCTTCCCTCCATAAGGAAGGCGATCTCAATTTTGGTCACTGATTCAGACATCTATGGCAAGTACATAGAAATACTAAGAGGCTATTTGGCTTGTATATGTAGGTTCAATTAAGTGCGTACACTGGTGTAGCTAGTCTGTGCACATTAATTGTACAGGGGAAAATGAGGTTCTCGGGCTCTGGATTGGTGGATGTTGGACAGAAAAACATGGCATTTATGCAACAAATAAGTGGACTTGAGGATGGCTGGATTTATGTTCAGCGCACAGCAATAATTTCCCTATCAGCATACACAGTGAGGCAAGGCAGAAATGGGTTCTGTAGTCTATAATGAAGTACAGATGAGACTACATGACAAAGCATTACTAAAGAAAGACTGCTTTCTGGACAGGTAGAAAAAATAAGACATCAGAATTAAGAAAAACTGGTTGATGAACTTCAGGTACAATTTCAAAATAGGTATTTTTTTTATTTTTCAACTTCAAGATTGTAATGTTTTGTTTAAACATGCACTTCTCCAAGTTTAAGAAACAATTTCTGAAAAACTAAACTGACATGTAGAAATTAAAAAGAAATGTTTTCTAGAGAAAGTGCTTTCAGAATGTAAAAAACATTTTAAAATATATATAGCAGTGTCAAATATTTCAGTAAAGCTATAGTATTGAATTTAGTAATGTTAATTTATCTTAACTTTGGAAGGTTTAATGAGTGTCACAATTATAAATTACTCATACAAACTATTTAGAAAGAAGCTCAAGTGAGAAACTTAATGGAGTCTGTGCATTCCTAGCTGTTAGTGTGACTGACCTTGCATGAACTATTACCTAAACCAGCTTAAAAAGACTGCAGTGAGGACAAGTCTTCCTACAACAGAGATCCAAACTTTGACTAATTACAGACTGTCACCACTGAAAACATAGCCAGCCAATCTCATAAGCAACATCCAAGGAGAGTGAAGAATGCTAGGGGCTTTACAACAGTGGTTAGTTACCGTATATTCCGGCGTACAAGACGACCTCTGAAGTTAAAAAACATCCCCCAAAAATCGGGGGTCGTCTTGTACGCCGGATGCCCCGCCGCCGGAGCCCCTCCGCGGCTTTAAAAGCCTCGGGGGAAGGCGGCGGCGGGGGCTTCCCCCGGACGGTTTAATTT